CATTTCCCCGGTTGGAAAATGCTTTTCATTCACCGTCGCCGCCAACGCTACCAATCGTTACACATCGTCAGTGGCATAAATGCGCGCGCCTAGCCGACGCAGCAACACCTTGCATCAAGCAGCGCTTGATGTGTGCCTCATTGCGGGCGGAGGAAGAGGTGGAGGAGGAGGAGGAGAAGGAGGCGATGGCGTAGACGCTGCATATTTTCAAAGTTTTCCAACTGCTGCTCATGATGACTATGCCGTGTTGGAGGCTTACACTTGCTCTGCTGATTCGGCGCTGTGGAATGACACACATTTCGATTTCGTTTTGGGCAGGGAGTTTTTCAATTTCTTCTTGCAACTATGCGCGCATCGTGATGTGGCACGTGAGGTGTGGCACCTATTGCTGTTGCTCTACGGATTGCTGAGCGTGTTGCTGGTGAGTAAGAGTGTAGGTATACCATGATGTTAGTGATAACATTCGTCTAGTTGGCGGTTCTTTAACTTCGCTCCGAGGACTTAAAAGTAAGAGAAATCGGTTTGGCCATCTAATTTAGGTTCACTTGAAAAGTCCCAAGGTTTTGATTGCACCCTTCTGTGTATCACCAAAAATAAAGATGCACATATATTTATAAGCTTCCTAAAAGAATACGCTCCCATCCTTTTTAAAGTCTTCGTTGGCAAGCGTTGGATCTCTGTTGTGATTGGAGCTCTTCAGTGTCGATCTTTCTTTGTGTAGTTAGACCTGCGACGAAAGTAAGCTTTGAAACATTAAAAGCGTGACTTTCATCTACTACCACATCAACGATTTCGTTTAACGTCTTTCGATATAGAGACAGTGATGTAAATATGTAGATCGTTGGGTCTTTTTTATATTAGAAGCAGTTGCTACTGACTGCCATGTTTCGTGACCCAGTAAAGTCGACAAGCTGCAGTCTGTTGTCGGAAGATTCGTTTACCTGTTAGATCAAAGATGCTTACTTTGGCCGTGGCCGTGCCCTCCAATACCTCATAAAAATGGTCTTTGCTCGCGTCATTCTCTCTTCCTTCGGGACGTAGGCACAAATTAGAAAGCTTTTGAGGCATCTGGCAGGTTGTGATGATCCTCCCTCCATTTGGTTTGAACGACAATACTCGGCCACGAAATCGTATCTCCAGTCACAAATCCAACACCGAACCTAGCAACCCTAAATTTAGTGATCCGAATCACCACAGTGCCAGAATGGATGTTTAAAAATGTAATACCGCCAAAGGAGATGAACATAAATACTCATATTTCAATAGCCAAAAAGGCAATGAAATTATTTTGTTCGTTGATGATTTGCCCAAAATTAGTCAGGGAATGCCCCTTCCTACGCATCAGACTACTTCTCTATCATACTCGCAGTCTACGCAAATTCAGAAAATCTTCCTTAAAAACGCTTAAAGATCTTACATCATCCGCGGTACAATTCTGAAAATGGGCGGGTTCGGGACATAAAAATTAAATTTCGTGATGAGCGGGATCGAGATTGAAACGTCTTCCATCATTAGTGCCAAGACATTACGGTGTTCAATACAACTATTTGGCTGATGAATTGGCGAATTGCGGTTCTTTGGAGAGTCCAATTGGACCGGAGCCAATTTCAGGGCCATGCACTTATGAGAGCCGTTGGTGTGGTACTACCTTCTTCAAAACAAGCAAATGTTTCTTGAAAAAGACTGATGGGGTAGTAACAAAATTCCTTCTCAAACGAATGATCTAAGAGCTCTGATAGGTCTGATTACGGGGCACACTCCATGGAGACGATATAGGTCACCATAGGTATATTCGACGATCCACTGTGTAAATATTGTTAGGAGGATGAGAATAGTATAGAACATTTGCTCTGCCGCTGTCTGGCCTTCGCCAGACTCAGATGGTACATTTTTGGGTCGGATGTATTAATAATGGACGAGATACACTCTCTTTTCCTCAACAAACTGCCACGATTTATAAAGAAGTCTGATAAGTTTGCATAGGAGCAATAAATTCCCACCGCACCCATATATCCCTTTCCTCTAAAGTCTGTCTCTAGGCCTTAAGTACAATGGGCAATACTGTCGTGTGTGCTTGGGAGACTTGTTTTTTTTTTTTTTTGGTTTTTCCGGCCATCCACAATTCCATTCCATTCCATTTAATATGGTTCCAGGCTTTAACGATATGGAAGAAAACTGCTTGGCTTAGAAGACAGCCAGATATATGTAGTTGTCTTGAGATGTTCACGCCAGACAAAGATTGTATGCGAGTTTCTTGGCCGCGGAGCGGTGGGCATTTACAGTTAGCTATATTAACCTAACCTAGCAGTAACCCTATAGAAAATCGGTATTAAAACTTTATTAAAAATCTTTCGATTGAAACTAGTATGGCAACAAATCAAGCATTTAACTTGTTTACTTCATTTTACTTATTCGAATTGGTGGCAACTCTATAAAATCCGGAATCCGATTAATGCTCATTATATAGTAGTTTTTTGTTTTAGCGCCGTTTTCATATTAAGCCAATTGTAATTTTCGTGAAAAAAAATGGAAACGGTTTTTTGAAAGGAGGTGGTAACCCTTTTCAAGGAATACGTCTAATATTCTCGTATACTTTTTGTATGATACATATTCATTATTTTATGTTAATTATATAATTTTTTTTGATGTATGGCAACTCTAATAAAAATATTTTTTTTCGATTGATACTATTAGGTATTTAAAGTTATATCTAAGTATTTAAACTTTTAAATTAATTAATTATATTTAACATTTATAAAACTAACTGACAACCCTGTTCACACTTCTATGGATTAGTAAAACGCCGTGAAAGTGCGATGTGTTAAAAAACTGCCCAAAGTACCTAGCAGTTAAATTTTTTTAATAGATTGAAGAAAAATAAAACAAACAGAAATTGTACATATCTATATTCATTTACGCATTAAATTTTTATATTTATTTTATTGCGTTCATTTGTCATGGATATCCAACTCTCTATGTGCTTGCGATCAAGCGTAGTGTATGCATATAAACATACAAACATACAAACATATCTGCTACATTAATCAATTATCGATGATATTGTGAAATATATGCCAGTGACTTTCACCCGAAAATGTCATCCAGCATATTGCAGACACAACACGAACTGACCAACACACTGACCGCAAGATAGGCGAATAGACTGTCAGACGGAAGAAGAAGAAACTAGAGAAAGGGGGAGCTCAACAAGCCAACTGTTGCTTTGCGACACAGTCAAACCATAAAATTTTGTAGTTAGCAGCCAATAAAGCAATAAAGAAATGAAATGTTACAACCGCAAGAAGCAATAGCAAAGAAACAAAAAAAAATAAAATAATTACAAAATTGAAATGCAAATTGACAATGACAGACAAAATTACACACAGCCTTAGCAAGCGCGGCAAAGTGGGTGGACATAGAGTATTTTGGTTGGACAAATTGTGAGTTGTATGTACAAACAAGGAGAAGTTTCCCACTGGGGAAGATATTAACGCTGTTGCATTGCTGGATAAATTGTCTATAAATTTTTGTTCTCTTGCATTTTTATACCTACATACATATCTATATACAGTGACTCAAACGAATGACCACGTGTTCATTTTTGTTAAATATTCGTAATGTTTTTCGAGCTAAATTGTTTTTGTTATTTTTCTATAAAAATACCGTCTATAAAAATACCGTCTAATTTAACCAAAACCATTTAAATAACAATTTCAAACTTTATACCAAATTTGGGAAAATTGAACGAATTTTAACCAAAATTTCAACTTATTAATATGAATATTTAGAACATTTTTGGGTATGCAGTTTTATAGCCCATACAATTTTAGTCCAATGAAGTGCAAGTTTCAACCGGCTAAAAAATCGCGTTGATTTTTGAGAATTTTTTTTTAGATGGATTTTTGCACTTTTTATTATTGCCCTCAATTTCAGAGTGGGCTATAGCTAAGTAAAAGTTTTCCTTTCATTGAGCAGATGAGACTGTAGACAGCTTGTGGTTAGCTGTTATGATGAGGTAGGTTATGTTATATTATCTTATATGTATATGTTATGTTATGTTGTTCATCGCATTTCACCTCAATTCAGCACAGCTTACTTTAAATCACCTGAACTCCCCTCATCCAACCTCAACTAAGCTCACATCAACTCCTCTCAGTTCACCTTAACTCACCTCACTCCAACTGACCTCATTTCATCCCATCTCGACTCAACTCAACTCAGCTCATCTCACTTCATCTCAACTCAACTAACTCCAACTAATGTTGTTTCACCTCAGCTTACCTTATAACACCTCACCTCAACTCAACAAACCTTAACTTATATAAACTCATTTCATCCGAACTCACTTCACTTCACCTTAACTCAACTCAACTCAACTCAGCTCGAATCAACTAACCTCAACTTTGCTTAATTTTAGTGGTTGAATTTCAACCGCTGCTAGTGTTCGCCCAGCGGTAAGCATAAATAGGCTAAGATAAAAATTCAACATTCATATCATTTTCCTGGGACCAGAACACGACTTTTTCATAACTTCTTCGGAAATAGTTCAGGACAATTTTAGGATCATTTCGTGACCAATTTCGAACTACCCCGAAATTATCCCCAACTAGTCCCAAAATTGTCCTAAAGTGGTTCTAAAAAATTCGTGAACCTGTCCCGAAGGAATCTCGAACAAATTTTGAAACGCTCCCGAAATGGTCCCTTATTAATCCCAAAATGATGCCGAACTAGTACCAAAATGGTCCAGAACCAGGCCGGAACAGGTCTCGAAAAAATCCCGAATTAGTCCTGAAATAATCCCTAAAAAATGCCGGAATGGTCCTGAAATAGTTCTGATTAGATCCTAAACTAGTCGTGAATTAGGCCACAAAAGGTGATGAAATTCATTTCATCAAAATTTTCATCAAAATCACATTAGAAGC